TGGGGCATATAAAGAAACATTTGTGAAAGATGGAGAAATACAGACCATGCAATAGTATCAATGGCTGAATAGATAGCTGAGTGAACACACATTCCCGAGGCTCAGGGATTAACAAGTGTATCTGAACGCATGAAGTTCTTTTCAGTGTTGTGCCTCCAGGACCTGTATCATCTCTGTTTTCTCATCATTTTTATCTGTTATTTTTGTGAATGAACAGGAAATGTGTATAAAATGTGAACACAATAAGCCTAAGTGAGATAGGACCCATGATGGATGAAAGAAACAAGTATTTATTAGAGTGTGCTCAAAAGTGTTTTACAATGCAGTCGTGAGCTTAGCATCCACCTCTTCAGGAGAATTGAGACAGGGCATCTTAATCTTTTTGTGCTATTAATATTTCACAATGCCCAGTATGTAGTAGTGCATAAGTGTTGCTTTAATCTTGAGTAGTATGAAGGATACATCAAATTTAGCAAGGTTTATGGATATTAATAGAATTACAAGGAAAATGTTTTAAGCTGAAGTATGATTGATATTAGTAGTATCTAAAAGTAGGGCAGCAGACCTCCTGTGTTGCTCTGCAGTTACTAGAAAGCATCAGTATCAGTCTTCTTTCTGAGGACTGTGTAGACCAATAAAAAAAGGTTCTGAGAAAAGCAACTGCTAGATATGTTTGAGGTTATTCCTTTGGAAAATTCTCCAAAAGGTAATGGTTTTAAAGGAACATGATAGTTGTTTTCGTATCTAATTTAGGTTTATTGTCAGAAAAGCAAAGTAAATTTGCTCCATTTATTGGAAAGGATTATACCTGGGCCAGTGGTAAAAATTAAAGAAAACATATTTGGATCAATGTCTGGAGTGTGTCGTACTACAAAATAAAAATGTTTCTATATAACTGGAGATGCACCACACAGGCCAGGTGAAAACTGGCAGGGCTATTACAGGTAAGAGTCTTAATACTGATTAGGAGGTTTCATTACATAATCTTAAATGTTGCATCAAAATCTAAGTTTTTAATAGGTACTGATTTAATTCTAGAGTCTTCAATTTTTTTATGAAATTTAAATGCATAGGGTACTAAACACACGTAGATGCCTATAAAAGCGTTTATATGTGCTGAAAATAAAACTGAAATCTGTGTTCACTAAACACACGTGTATATGCTGTATATGTCTGGAACTGCTTCTCTATTATTTATGTTCAAATAGTAAAGAAAGCTTTACTCCTTTGGCACTATTTATATTTACCCTTAAAATTTTATACAGTGAGAAAAAGATATCTATTGCATCATACAAGTAGTAGATGGCTCCAATCGCTCACTCAGTAAATTCATTAATCAATTATAAAAAGAAAAAAAGAAGAAGAAGCTGTTTTTCTACCACATCTAGGGGATGAGGATAAATAGGAAGCTACTGAAGAATTCTACTGTATTATGAGAATGTCAAACTTAACAGAAATTACAACTTGGTGTTTTTCGCTCAATGTAACAAGAAATCATTGGCAGTATTTATGGCTGGGAAGACTGTAATTAGAAGGGTGATTATAAATACTGTTAGTGAAATACTTATTTTTACAAAGAACCATCAAAATTTTCTACCCATCCAGATCTTGGCTTCTAAAGGCCATTTTCCAATAAAAGCAACCAGGGTTCCTTGGAAATTGGTTGAATCTAAGCTGGGGCAGCAAAAATACAAAATGAGTCTGGGGGACTTTATGGTTCCAAACATTAAGGGGAAAAAGTATAAAGGTAATGGAACAGTAAGACTGAAAGCAAAGGAGTAAATAACTAGAAAAGGATCCTGTGAAAAGGATACAGAAATCGAAAGATCCCATAGCTAAATCTAGAAGCACTTGAGCCCAAAACAAACAGTAATAATACTGGGTGGTAAATAAAACAATAAATATTCATGAGCCCACACTGATATAAACAGATACTTGTATAAATAAATACACAGGAAAGAAGGAATAACTCTTCTTTCCAAAATAATTTCAATTCTTATGATCTAATTTAAGGAGATCTGGGTGAAGTTTTAGACATTCAAAGATGCTTAGATGTTAATTACAGCCTTAGTTAATAATTAAATATTTAAAGTGGTGATTCCTGTTTGATGAAGTAGTTTACAATAATTATATCTGTATTTCCAGAAAACTTTCATCAGGAAAAATTTAAATACAAGATATAAAAATACACAGCTGCCAAGTGTGGTAGAGCATGCCTGTAATCCCAGCACTTGGGAGACTGAGGCAGGAGGATTGCTGTGAGTTCAAGACCAGCTTGGGCTACATAGTGAGTTCCAGGTCAGTCTCGACTACATAGTGAGACCCTGTCTCAAAAAACAAAACAAAAGCAAAAACAAAAAAAACAAAAAACAAAGAACAAACATAGCTGTATTTATAATGTGTACTCCAGTTTGGCCAAAGTGTGAGTCTGTACATGTGCATGAGTGTGTGTGTGTGTGCGTGTGTGTGTTTGTGTGTGTAAACACAAGAACTGTCCAAGTGGGTTATGCTGGTAAAATAAAAATCATGAATAATCCTATTTGCTTTCATTTACAAAATTTCTAAATTGTCACTTGGACTAATAACATTTTAAAAGTGCAAGTGAATTGGGAGAGTGAGTACATTTCTCACACACCTTTACAACAGTTTGGGAGGTAATAAAGGCAAATACATGACTTTAGTAATGTATTCATTTGTTTTCTATTAGTTCAAAAACCACTCTACATTTATTTCTTTATTATATCGTTGTGTGTGACAAAAGTTAGGGTAGAGATTGAAAGTGCTTTTTTAAAGCTAATTTAAGAGGAAGGCTATAGATTATTAAATTATAAAAACATATCTTATTAACTAATTGATTGAAGTCATCAATCCCACGCTAGCTGTGCAGTAGCATGTATAATATATCTAAATGTACTTTAGCACAGGTTCACTTATAAAACTTTTATGTTAGGTATTCTCTTTTATGCACCAATATTCTCCTCAGAGCATACTCTATATGCAAGCGTCTTATGTCTTTCAATGTTTTATTTTTGAAATTATTTGCAATATGTACAGCATAATTTTATGTAAAATATTTTGTTTAACACATTTAAATAGTGATTCTCTGAAAAGTTTCTATTAACACAGATGAACGGATGAGAGATAAAATGCATATAGTTGGTAAAATACAAATGGGGAAAACTTAAAATTAGAGTATAATACACTGTAGTTTGGGTCTACCCATCAACAACATAGATTTAGTTGTGAATTCTATAGCTGTACCATCTTCCATCTTGTTTTAGATTATGTCCACACAAAGTCTTGTAGACAAAGAAAAGTGAAGCATCTAATATTAGAGACGATTCATCTATCAAATAGTTTTACTTCTTAAATATCATTATCATACTTATACAACCTACCAATAAAGCACATACATATAGATAAAATATGTAGTTTTGGATCTTTATATATTTTAATCAGTGAGATTTTGGAAAGCATAAAATTAATATGTGCATTCTTTTATGTTATTTCTCCTTTAAATGTTTTCTAAATCCACTAATTGACAAAGTAAGTCAATTCATTCTGGATTCTGTTTACTTACCACATGTTCGAGAGTGCAGCAGCATCTGGCTCATAGGTGACGGACAATATATGTTCAATTAAAGAAACTTGAAGCATGTTATTTCTCTTTCACATAGCTGTGGCATGGCTGGCGTCATTTTGACTCATGCAAAATTATGGAACTACTATTAAGCAAGGAAATTACCATATACAGTGAGAACAACTAGATGAAGAACAGTTGTATAAACTTTCATTTATGGAAATTTACAGTAGAGGAAGAGGGGGCACTTAAACTAAGACATATTTTAAAAGTCATATTTTGAAAATATGATATACAACAGGTTCCACTGTTAATCAAGTGAATGGATGTCTTGCATAATTAAACTCTTGATGAAAATGTGAGTAACTGAACCAGGAAAACAAATTAGAGAAACATAAATTTAATTCTATAAACATCCATAGATTTTTATGTCTCATTTTCTTAAAGTACAGCAACAGACTTCAGAAGAAGAAAGTGGGGAACTACTGTGTAATCTCTCCAGGTACAAAACAACTTGCCAAAAGCTTGGTTCAACCCTCACAGTAGTTCTTATTTTGTGAAGATAAGCAACATCGGTTCTATGACAATTAACAAAAAATAAAAGCTATTCATGGGAACACACGTACAATTAAAATTTTACCATTCATGTTAGCCAGCCTAATAAGATATATTTGAGAGAATCTATCCATGCATTCTTTTCTCTACAGGCAAGCACATATCCCCCTATACATATGCAAGTATGTGTGATTGTATGTACAGGAATACACGAAATACACAGTGTTATGTTTTTGGGATAATGCACAGTCTTTAGAATCAAAGTGGGTTGTGTGTTTTAGGGGATAATTCATAAAAATATCGTTCAGAGTAAGGCAGGAAGTATTCTGCAACACTGTATTCTGTTCAGGAACTAATAATACAGCTAGGGGATGAGGATAAATAGGAAGCTATTGATGAGGGTATATATATATATATAGATATATATATATATATATCTATATATATATAGATATATAGATATATCTATATATAGATAGTATGAGAGATACTATATCCTGATATTTCTCAAAGTTTTCAAGAGTCAAGAACAGATGCTTGTTTGTCTTTCTAATAAAAATTTTGGAGAATGTGTAAAAGTAAATTAAATTCTGTCAGACCCTTTAAAAGAAAATGTTCTTCTTTCAAGAAGATTTTTATGTGGTAAAAGAAAAAAAAAAGAGCATTGCAAGCAATTCTGAAAACACAACTGCGATGCGATTTGATAAATAGCCTCCCATCATTCAAGCCAGAGCATGAAAAAGCCTGCTATCAGCACTTCCACCAAAGGCACTCGTGACTCCTGTGTTTCTACCTCATTTTATCGTGACTTTTGTCATTTTGTTTACTCAGACAATGATTGGGGAAAGAAAAAATGATTCCTTACCCCTTGGATGCGATGCAATGGAGTCTTCTAGCGAAGGATCCCTCTCTCCATCTTTGTCACCACCGCTGCTCTCTTCGCTGCCACCGTCTCTCTCAATCAGTTTATCCACCATGGCGATTACGCAGTTCAGGCTCTTTCCCACATCGGCCCACACCCTATCCTGAAAAGAGCATGAGTATCACTACACATTTTTATTGCAAAGACAAAGCAACACTGGATGAATCCAGTTTAGAGAAGCAATCAGAAGAGCAATCACTAGGATGAAGGTTGAGTGACTAGCTCTAAGAGTGCCATTAATTTGGTAAGATTATGCATATGCAAGGAGTCTACTTTCTCTTGATAAAGCTGTAATGAAGTTTTAACAGTTCTTTTAGATAGTTCATTATTTTTTCACTGTCATAAAAAGATGATAAAGTCCTGTATGTGTTTAATCCATAGCACAGCACGAATTATGACATTTTAAAGTGAAGCTATATTTGTTTTCTTTATCAAGACTTAGAAAACAAAGACATTATTTTTTTTAAATAGGCAGCAGTTGTATTAGAAATTCTTTTTTTATTGTGGCAGCAACACACAATATTAAATTCACCACTGTAACCACTTTGAAATACACATTTCAATAGCAGTTAGTACAGGCATACCCTGTGCAACCATCACCACCATCCACTTCTAGATTCTTTTCCTCTTCTCACAGTAAAATTCTGCACCCCTTGCCAATGATTTCCCCATTCTTCTCTCCCCCAGTCTATAGCAAACATCATTCTTTCTTCTGCCTCAGTGAATTTGGCTACCCTACGTACTAGAAATCCTGAAAGTGTGGTCTTCACACCATTTCTCACAGAATGGCCTGGAGCAGTGGGGGTGAACCTATGGCATACGTATTATTTGTTTTCCTTTTAAGACAAAAGGTATTAATGAATGAGTTGTTTTCTTTTTTCTAAACTACAACCTCAGGGTGTGATTGCAGCGTTGGCACTTTGTGATAAATAAGTAGGATTCGGGTTGCAGTTTGGGTACTCATCTCTAGGAGGTTTACTATTACTGTCCTAGAGAATTTATATTCAGGGCTGGGGATTTAGCTCAGTGGTGCCACTGCCTGCCTTGCAAGTGCAAGGACCTGAGTTCGATCCCCTATACCAAAAACAAACAAAAAGAGAATTTATATTCAGATGCCTGGATTCTATCAAGTCACTCAAAACCATCTGAGAGAAGGCATCAGAAATTGAAATTCTTTTTTTTTTCTTCTCTCATTGAGTTTATCGGTACACTTTAGGCACACAGTACAGTCACATTCATCATTGGGACCCTGTACCTTTCCATGACAGGTCTTGGGAAGCAGCTTATACAATGGAGGAGTCTATTTGTCCCTAATTTCCTCAGTTTTGATTAGTACCTGTTTTAGCTTAGGCAATACATTAAAATGAGTTGCTTTATTCATAAAACTTGAATTAATTTTTTAAAAATATGACTCTTGAATATGGTGGTCTGGATGAAAGCCTAGAGTCCCTGACTTCCCTTCTCACTCAACTTCCCATATAATTCAGAGGAGGACACGAATTCCCCATCCCTCTCTCCATACATGAGAACCACGTATATTTCTGGTGTTTTCTCTGTGTACAGCCATAAAACAATCTTTCAATGATTCTCTTCTGATATGGCATTATTTCAGGCACCTGGAGTATGACTTAGTGATAAGATAATACTCAATTATACTATCATCTTAGTATTTTGCATATTTCTCCCAAACATATCTTTTCACTCAAGCTAATTTTTGGTAGTTTATAAGTCACCAAACTAACTCTGGGGAGGATACATCTTAAAAGAGAGAACTCTAGTTGAATGTAGATTATTTGATGGTTGTCTTGAAAGAAATGTTAGTTGAATAATTCATTCACATTAAAACAAACGTAGCTGTGCAGGACTACAGATGTGCAGAGTTCAGCTGAAATAGAAGGTTTATGTAAAGCATCCTCAGCACATTCAATACTGGAAAAAGTGATCTTGAGGTCCTCATGTGATACGCTACCTATGAGATCTTGGGAAAACCACCTCACCTCTGGGAAACTGCTGTTGTCTCATCTATGACTTGAAATTGTAGTTTTTGGTCCACCGACCTTGCTAGGCTGCCTTGGTAGCCAAATACTATACTGTGATTTCTGTGCAAACACTTGGGAAAATTATTACAATTTAGCACAATCATATCCAGCCATGACTAGCTTCCTAAAATCAATCTTTCTTTCTCTCCCCTGTAATCTTAAATGGGAAGTACGATATTAATCACAGATAATCCTACCAATCTTTTCCCTAAAGGCAGATCTTTCCTCCAAAGAACTGAAAGAGTTTCCCCTGTAAAGAAAATTGAGACACTAGTGACGTGTAAATTACATCGTTTTCTGCCCATTGCCTAGGAAATTGAAGTGAGCCAGAGCCAGGCCAGGCAGGCTCAGGAGGCCCACCTGTCCAGGAAGGACACAAGGGGTGAGAGGAAACAATCAGAACAGCTAAGGGTCACTCAGCCTGGGACTTGATGAGGAATACAAAAGTACTTACAAGATAATTTTTTTTCCTCATTGAGTTTATTGGTACATAAGATCCTAATGAGATAACTGACAATGTGAAATAGGAAGAAAAGGTCTTACAAGATAATTTGATACTGACATACACATTGCTCTTCCTGTACAGATACCACAGGGCAGTAATGATAAATGTATGGCAGCTGTGTTGTTGCGATCTTCTCTTAAGACAAAGATGTTCATGTAGAATTGTATTCTTCCAAATGAAAACTTCTGTATTCAAGTTTAACTGCTGTGTTGGCACTTTGTGATAAATAAGTGGGTTTTGGGTTGCAGTTTGGCACTCGGCCCTTACAGGTTCACCACTGCTGCCTGCCATAAGGTGTAGGATTTTACTCATAGAAGAAATAACCTTTGTAGCCAGTGGAGGGATTTTCATTGGCCTAAGTAGCATAGTAAAGCGTGTTCACTGGGTGAGATCAGCTATTTTGTACAGGTAAACAATGGAAAAATATAGACTCATGATGCTTCGAGGATAGAGGATCTGAAAGAATGTTTACTGGAAGAGAGGAAGGAGCAACTGTTTTATGCAATGTTCATGTACAATTTATGCATAATCAAAGTTTCTTTGAAGGCATGCTCAGAGACAGACCACAATATTATTCCATGAAGATGCAATCTGTTTGTTTTTTTTTAAGAGGAAGCCTGCCCAGCTGGAGGTAAGAGAACACTGAATCTTGCTATTGTATCTTTCTCTTTTATGGCCTCTACAAAGTAAAGCTATTGATTTGTGTCTCTGACTCTACCACTAAACTTTGAACTACTTAAGAGTCCTGTCCTCACAATATAGCGCAGGTCCTTGCTCTCAGTTACTTTTGTTGAAAGAAAGGAAGGAACAAAGGCGGAGAAAGAGGGAGAAGTATGGCAAGGGGGAAGATGGGGTGACTAACTCAGAATGAGATTGAGAGCTGGTCACTGTGTTCATCTGGCATATGTACAGTAGTTCACTTTATCTTTACAACCACTGAATAAGGGTAATATTAATTGACATAGTTTTCAGAGCAATGAAGAAACTTCAGGCTAGACATGTAGAATGACACTCAACTTTGAAATGGCAGAAACAAACTAGAAATACATCTTGTTTGACTCCAAAAACTTGGTTCTTCTACTGAGTTTCAGTAGAAACTCAGTACACAGTATTGCATGCTATACAGAGGTACATAGTACTGCATGCTATACAGAGGGAATCAGGAGGGGTCAGACAGAAGCGAATGCCATCTCACAGAAGCAAGATTGTGTTTTCAGTATCTGAGCCTTGAAAATGAGTCCAGTAGCAGACCCTGGGAAGGACAGGATGGTCACATTTAAGTCTGGGATCAATAGTGTCCGAGAAGCAAGGGTGGAATGAACAGTCACTGGGCTAACATTTCTTCTGCTGGGGTCTAAGAATGTAAGTGAGGGCAAGGTCAGGATCCAGTCCTCAGAAACATTCCTGTGACTGCAATGGGTTACAAGGGGAAAAAATAGTAACTTGCTTATCAAGGCAATGAATTGTAAGGTAATTTTTTTGAAACTAGAAGTTAAATTCTTAATGGGGAATCTTGCATATCTGATTTCTCTGCAATCCGTGTAGCTCTCCTGCCCCTAGGCAAAGGATAAAAATAACCACCACCTGTCAGAGAAAGAGACTGGTGAGATTCATGGGACCTGGTGACCATTATCCTGCTGGGTCTCCTGCTATAGGAAAGGAAGGGAGGAATGGAAAGTGGAAGGATCACAACTGAACCTTTATTAGACGAAGCCTTACTTTAATCTTAATAAAGCTTTTACCACAACCCTTCTCCTTGGAGGTGAAGCCATTGGTCATAGAGGTCACAAGGTGAGCGGGGAAGTAGCACCTATATTTATCCCACTCTTACTCAGTTGTTGATCTAAGCCTTTATTGCTGGGCTAGGACCTAAACTAACATAAAGGTGAACTATAGTATTACAGTTATAAAACTTCGATGAGCCATTAGAGAGAGCCATCAGGGTTGGCAGAGGGATCCAGGAGTGGAGGGGACACCATCTTACTCAGTATGCCACATGGTTAAAACATGGTATCATCAAGAGGAATCCTGCATGCTCTGGGTCAGCAGTAAATTTTAAAAAATGAGTTCAGCAATGCTTAGCTGATCAATCTGTCTAAAGCCAACTTTTGATCAAGAAAATGTGGGCTGGTGATTTAGCTCAGAGGTTTGGTGGCTTGCCTTGCAAGCGCAAGGACCCAAGTTCAATCCCTGGTACAAAAAAAAAAAAAAAAGAAAAC